GACCAGTTAGTTACCATTGGCCTACTTGCAGATAGGAGAGACAGAGGTATATCAAAGCTATCAAAAGCTATGAAAGCGATGTTATTGCAGGATAACAAAAATCGTATCGATTTTTCGAAGTTTTGTTTTCGAGTAGTGTTGTTGGTGGCAGTCTTAATATGCGCATTGCTATTTGTGGCCAAGTCTCGTCAAATCGACATCTACTTTTCAATTATGAGAGTTCAAATTTATCCTTATTGTGCCGCCGTTTCATGTAGTCACCAAATATCTCTGATTACAATTCCGCAGCCGTCGGTGGCTTCAATATGCACAAGTCAGCCGTAAGAGCCTGCTTTTCGCCCGATTATTCAACTATTTGCGAGCAGCTGCTCGGGGGACGATCAGTTTACGACCACGAGGAACTTCTCGTCACTGCCGAAGAAAGCCGCCCCTTCTGGGTCGCTTACAAGGACGGCATAGTGACCGTGGGTAAAGGAGGACACGACCAGGCTTTCTTAGAGTGGAACGCCACAGCATACCACGGCGACATATCAACTCCGGTACACGTCGGTATATTTGCCTGGAGAAACGTACCTGGAGAGTGGGTGTTTTACTAATTCTGTGCCTAATAAACCGAAGCAAGTGTTGAAGAAGTAAAAAAATAAATTTATTTTTGAAAGGTCTGAGAGTAGAGGTAGCCACTACAGTGTGCAATTTGATCTTTTGAAAGAAACCTGGCACTTAATTGACAAAATCAATTATCTTCAGGCAAACTTGAATTCTCAGTTCTTATTGGTCGATCCATGGCAACAAACAGTGTGATATATAACCGTAATGCACGGTTCATATCAAACCCTGAGTAATGATCTGTTCTAACTCGACACATTGTGCTAGTTTTACGCTAAAAGCAAACGCACATATCTTCATGACTATAAAGTCAAAAGTGTCGAGTTTGCTCGTGCTGATCGTCATGTGTTTAAATGCACTAACAATTCTAACAATGCCCTTTCTTAGTGTTAACCCTGTTGCAATTGTTGTTATTAAAAATAAGTTGAAACACAAATAATTTCCATGCTCCCTTGATAAAATTGCAGAATTGTGGTACATCGGTGTTATTGTTTTGGTTGTGCGCCGTATGATATCTTTTGTCTTCTTTTTTATGTAAAGCGCGCATAGGCCCCTTTACCTTCAGTAGTGTGCGTCAAGTTTGCTTGAAGATAAATTCGTTATCACTCTCGTGTGATAATTCATATTAACAAACAACAAAAACTACAACATCAGCTTCTGGCATTATCAATGACACCAGTTAAAAATAACACGAATCAACACAAAACAGAACATTTTCCAAATTTTGAATTTAAATGTCCGATTCTTGAAATGCCACCTCCAGTCCTGGATGAACACCAGCTTGAGTCAATTCAACGACAAAAGAGTCAAAGAGTCGAATGTAGAAACGTTCTCTCTGCACAGTTTACTTCTATTAATTTGCAGGGAGCATTTCCTTGGCCATGCTCCTGAGTGTAGGGGAGTGTCAATGCAAGGAAACCCTAGTAAATACTTATCATTGTATAAATATTTCACACGATCTTCGGTCGGAGAAATTGTAAGATTTACGGGGCTCAACGTGGTAAGTGTTCTGATTAGGACTGTATAACGTGCTATACTGCATTGGTCAGCTAGCTGTGTTAGCCATGTGGTCCTAGGCCTGTTAGCCTTTGATCATCACATCCATTGTATTATTATTTACGGTGCCGTCTAGCCACCACACTACACTTACTGTTTTCATATTTAATAAAATGCAGTTCTGGAGTTAGACATCATTATTTATTGTTCACGTGTTCCCAAGTGCTTGTCCACATACTGTTTTGTAACCATAATGCCAACTGCGTAAGCCTGTTGGTAAAACTTCAAAGTTGTTTCAGAGCTAGAAGTTATACAATAAGAAATCATTCAAGAAATGTTTTACAATGTTTTACTATTCATTTCATGTATTGGGTAAACATGAATTAGTAGAAAAAGATAGAACATGGTCTAGAATAAATATGCTTCTGTGACAGCCACTGATTTACAGGTAAATGTCGTAACCAAAGACACCGAACTTGAAAATCCTGAGTTGAGGTTTCAAACGGTAGCTACAAGAATTGGTTTCAGGCATAATTTTCCCGCAAGTTTATTCTCTTTGTCAATTTTCGAGACTATTTGACATTTTAAATTATCCACGGTTTCCTGGGCAACTGAGGGTGCTGTTGCAGTGAAGCATGGAAGACGGTTCTGTAACAGCCTCGTTCCCATGGGCACGATCTCGCTGGGCCATGTTGGTTCCCACTTTGCCTTGGCAATCTAACCCCTGGTGCTGTATAATTTAAATATCCTGCACGGTTTGGCAAAATGTATCTCATAAAAACAAACTTGGAAAAAATATACTTCACCTTTTCAACAAAAATATATATGATGGCACTCCAGGGCCTTCGTAGTCCACAAATCAATGTAACATTCAGGTTTGCGTCTTGGGATGACATCACAGTTGGTGATGATCGCCATGTTATGGATAAATTTGGTTAAAGAAATCCTTGTAGGCGAGCTTTACTCTTGTCACACCACTCAGGACTGTTTAAAGTCGTCATCCGACCAAACAGTCCTGTGTTGTATTCAATCGGTCATTCTAGTCTTGCTAATCAATCACATTTCCTTGTTGGTCATACTCTTTAGTAGCAACTGTCACAGTGACATGCGACTATCAGGTGAGAGAGGAAATCATTAAATAGAAATCAAACATGTTAATTTCATCACGCGATGAAATACGTAAGTAGCCTCCCTCGACTTTATAAGCAGCCTCCCTCAACGTTGTTGAAAGTAGGTTTATTTTCCAGGAGCATAACCGTTTTAGTCGGAAAACAACGTCTTTTGGAGATACTAAAATAAAAATCTGTTCTAAATTCACGTGGCCCTATTTTTGGGATGAGAATTGGCACTGAATTTCTAACAGTGTAGAGGCTCGAGGTAAAGGAGTACATGACTTGTCAAGCAGTAGTCGATTTCCTGTACGAAGCGTTATGAAATAAAAGGCCACAAGGCAAAATCGAACAGTCGCGGCGAGGGTGATAGTCGCTGTTTGACGCCTCAACATCACTTTTTTTTACCTCGATATCTATATCCAAGGGAGGACAAATAGGCCTGTACATTCCGTAAAACGGAGAGGAACTTAATCTGCCAGTTGATCTTTCTTTCCAGCATTTTAGCGCAGTGGTGATTCTCGTGCTGTGTTCCATTTGATTTAATATCAGCCGATGGGAGCCTCACATCCAATTTCAGCCGACGGTTGACAGGCATTTTTATTGTACCATTATCGACGCCGGTGAAGAAGTCTGATTTAAAGAGAAATGGTCTGCGTACTATGCGTACGGATAGTTGGCATGGAATTGAATGTAATATAGTGGCCCTTCGAGCAGAGTTCATTCAACGCAGCAACCGGCCGGTGTTGCTACTATGGCAACTAAAACGATTGACTCCAGCGAGCACTCACGTGAACGGAAATGAAACATGCATGGTACGGAGGTGTGTCGTCTCACAGTTTCAGTCCAGTAAGCAAGAAATGAAGACGAGTTGGATAGACATGGATGATCTGCGCTACGTTTCGATCCTGACTTTGGCTCTTGGGCTGGCTTGCTCCTTCTGCTTGCTAGCCGTGCATGGAGAGATATGTAGTGCTATGACCAAGGCTTCAGCCGGTGACGATCTTGGCTCGCTCCGCAAGAGAGCTTTAGCGGCTTTCCAAGCACAGTGCCGTGAAAAAACAGGCTATCTCGGCTGTACTGCATGTAAGTCATTCTTATTAATAAAACCCTACATGTTTGCATTTTCTATTGGTAGCGCTGGGTACTTTACATTCATATTTTGCGTCCATAAAAACCAACAAAAATGGCTCGCCATCACTGCACAGCGAATGGACGTGTATGCTTGCGCTGTAGATTTTTTTCAACCAGCTTACATTTTTTCCTTTTCTCCGGCACTTGAGCCTTGATACAAAGATGACTGTGATTTCTGCTTTTCAAGTTCATATATTTCACCCTATTAATACAATAGATTGCTTCGTTTCTTTCACAGCATGGAATTGGTATGGCGTGCCTTTTGGAAATCATACACCCCTGCCCTGGGGTTGATTAGCACCTTAATAATAAAATACATGTTGCACAAATTGTGGCATTAGGCCTATATCCAGGCATCAACAAGTCACAGCATGACATTCCAAATGTCTCGTATTGGGCACCGTACATATCCTTGGTCTAATCAGCGTATTGTGTTTTCTAATTCAACCGCCAAATTCAGAACACGAGTGAATCGTGCAAATTATGACCTTGTCTGGGTATTTCCTCCCAGCTTGTTCATTCGCCCTGGAGCCTTCAGACCCTCCTGGAATCACGTTCATCCTGCAGCCCCTGTACGAGTCTTTTCGTCTGGATTTCCACGTGAAGACCAGGCGCGATGCCATTTTAGTCTTGGCGAAAGAGATGACAGAGGAATCTTCGTTTGCGTGGATAAGTGAGTATCGGTGACAATCACTTGAATTACTCGCACAATTATTTTACCCAAATTTATCCACGCTGTTCCTTTAATTAAATAATTACCCAGCTTTTTGAAACAATATGGAGGAAATTATTTAGTCAAGAAATAAAACCAACAAACGCAGCAAAGTTTCCAGGACGCGCACAGACTCGATGGGTCGTTTTGTGTCGGTTACCCGTGTCTTGCTCGAAAGCAAGATCTTAATGTCTTGGTAGAATCGTAAACAGAATTTTTCAAGCAAAGAGTTGGTGTAGAACGCTATTTGACAGCCAAAAATCGGTCTTTGATTATAAAACAAATTAAATTGAAGAGGGAAAAGCTAAGTGTGGTTTATGAAAAGCTCTTAGCGGGGCGCTTTAATATCATTAAATGTTCACGTAAGTCCCTGGATTATGGTTTGGGCTGTGGATGGAGACTATGATATCACGTGTGTGACATCGCTAGGATGAGGGTAATATGCTTTTTTATTAACCAGTCAGCGACCTTTCTGGCCTAAGACAGAGGTATTTCAAAGTTATCCAAAGCTATGAAAGCGATGATATTGCAGGATAACATAAAACATATCGATTTTTTGAAGTTTCATTTTCGAGTAGTGTTGTTGGTGGCAGTCTTAATATGCGCATTGCTATTTGTGGCCAAGCCTCGTCAAATCGACATCTACTTTTCAATTATGAGAGTTCAAATTTACCCGTTTTATTGTGCCGCCCTTTCACGTAATCCTCAGTCACAGAATACATTTGATTACAATTCCACAGCCATTGGTGGCTTCGACATGCACCAGTCAGCCGTAAGAGCCTGCTTTTTGCTGGATTCACCTACTTGCCATGAGTTACTCGGAGGACGATCGGTTTACGACCACGAGGAACTTCTCGTCAGTGCCGAAGAAAGCCGCCCCTTCTGGATCGCATTCAAGGACGGCATANCACTGTTATTACGGTTGTGTAAAATTTTACACAATTTTACCCCTTTTGTGTAAAATTTTACACAACTGCTGTTTACTATATGAACCTAGCAATTCATCTGAGCAGCCTTTTGGCCACTTGGACCTTTGGGATTCAACAAAGATGTCATGGTCACTGCACTTGGGCGATTTTGCTTCTCAGTAAATCCATAGCTGAAACTGAGTATTCTGCTGTTCAAGTCGTCAAGTTAGAAAGCCTCCTCATCTAACAAATCCTTCAATACTAACTTGACTACGAGTGGTATCATTCCTTCCAAAAGATCATGCATGATGTCAAACGAACTGTTCTCTACTACATGAAAATAGGGCAAGTTATTCAAGCTGCTCCTCCTTGCTACACCAGTAGCTGTCAGATTTCCAATCTCCACATCCAAAGCAAAATTTTCTTTGGTTCGTAATTGGTCTTTCTTTTCTTCCTCCTGTATTTGGCAGTCACCTCTGTGTGACCGGCACTCCCTGCAGAAATAGTTGGCAGTAAATCCACTGGAAAATCCCAACATGGACTGCAGTCCAAGGTTGTCACCAATAACTTGGAACAGTTTTGGATAAACACGGCCCTTAAATTCATCGCAATTGATTACTATGCCATCAATATATATTTTATGCAGTTCTGCACAAATGATCTCTAGAACCGAATCGATTCCATATTTGGTGACTAGTTTTGATGTTACAGCCAAGCCTAATGCAGATAGGGAAGTGCAGTTGGAAAATGAAGAAGTTGCGTATGCCTTGGTTGAAGTTGAGTCCAACGAAGCAGCTGAGGAAAACGATGATGCAAGCAGTGTTGTCAATGATGGAACTGAGGTAATAACTGAATGCCTATCTTGTTTCAAGTGTCTCAAGGTGCAGAATAATGCATTCGAACTTTTTTCACACTTGAAGTATGTCCACAATATTAATTCCAATACCTCTCATCATTCGCTCTCATCACTGTCATCTTCATACTCAACATCAAAGTTATCCATGGCAACTGCATCATCTTCATGCACTTGGTGTTGGACATGAACATGTACATGGTGTTTCTTTACATGCCTTTTATAGGTTTTGCAGTGTGAGAAGGCAAGCTGACATTCCGGGCATATTATTTGGGTTGCTGTATTGGAATTAATATTGTGGACATACTTCAAGTGTGACATGCGCTAGGATGAGGGTAATATGCTTTTTTATTAACCAGTCAGCGACCGTTCTGGCCCAATGCATGAACAGTTTATTAAGAAGACAGAGTTCTATCAAAGTTAATATCCAAAGCTATGAAAGTGGTGATATTGCAGAATAACATAAAACATTCCATTTTTCGAAGTTTCGTTTTCGAGTAGTGTTGTTGGTGGCAGTCTTAATATGCGCATTGCTATTTGTGGCCAAGTCTCGTCAAATCGACATCTACTTTTCAATTGTGAGAGTTCAAATTTACCCAAGTTTTATAGTGCCGCCCTTTCACGTAATCCTCAGTCACGAGATATATTTGATTACAATTCCACAGCCATTGGTGGTTTCGACATGCACAGGTCAGCCGTAAGAGCCTGCTTTTTGCTTGATTCACCTACTTGCCATGAGTTACTCGGGGGACGATCGGTTTACGACCACGAGGAACTTCTCGTCACTGCCGAAGAAAGCCGCCCCTTCTGGGTCGCTTACAAGGACAGCGTAGTGACCGTGGGTAAAGGAGGACACGATCAGGCGTTCATGGAGTGGAACGCCACAGCATACCACGGCGAGATATCAACTCCGGTACACGTCAGTATATCAGCCTGGGAGTATGCACCTGGAGAGTGGGTGTTTCACCAGTTCTGTGCCTAATTCCAACGAAGCAAGTAAATTTACCTCTAAACGGTCGGTATTATAAACTGCGATTAAAAGTAGCCAGGGTGGGTTTTCAATTTCGTGTTTTCATTTGAAAGAAACCTGGCGCTTACGTGACAAAAAACAACAGCAGAAGCCGCAACATCACCTGCAACGTCAGCAACAACAACAGCTACAGCGTCAGCAACAACAACAGCTACAACGTCAGCAACAGCAACAGCTACAACATCAGCAACAACAACAGCTACAACGTCAGCAACAACAACAGCTACAACGTCATCAACAACAACAGCTACAACGTCAGCAACAACAGCTACAACATCAGCGACAACAACAGCTACAGCGTCAGCAACAACAACAGCTACGACGTCAGCTACAACGTCACCAGCAACATCATGAATCAACACACAAGAAACGCATTTTAAAGCCTGGAACCCAAACGTCACATTCTTTAAGTGCTGATAATTATAAAAAAGGAGAAATTGACTTCTGAGTTTAATATATTTAGCTCATGGTTTCGAGTTCCGGCATCGATGATAAATGCACAAATCGCGATCGTAATTTTCAACGCATAATCAGGAAAACAATCGTGACAAACGCAAAGGCATTTTCTCGTTTAGGTTTCAGAGTCTGCATTGTATTATTAACAGAACACCAGTTTGTCCGTAGCGTTATGCACCTACGTATTACAGTGGAAGAGACATCAAGTTCGCATTATCTTGCAAATACCTTTTTTGGTATTGTATTCACGCAGTCCACTCATTCTGCGGACTCCGTGATTACAACTATCGGGCATCTGTATCTTGATTCGATTTTGACCAATCAGGTCCACCGTACTTAACGTTACAGTCGACTCCTGTGTCGGTTACTCTCATAAGCTGCCATGCGCGTCTTCAGTCGTCCGCTTGGTGAACGGAGAAGGGAAGTAGCGAAAGTTAGTAGATTCTTGTCGATCAAGAGATTCCTTGGTCAACAGCAACCATCGTCAAAAAACTTGTAGAATCTGATCTCCGTGAAGAGCAAAATTTCTTAATTCTATTTTGCAATGCATTTAACTTTGATGTTTATGGCCTGATTAAATGCCTGCTTTGAGAAGATACAAGCAAGACCATTTGTTTCTATAGTACACCAGTTCTAACAGATGTCAGAGAATAGTGAGTTGAACCTATTGTTTATTCTGTATCTCTCTGTATATGTCTATATTTATTTTTCAACGACTTGAAACTCTGTCTTTTAAAATCATTTTGAAAAATTACAGACAGATAATAATTAGAAACTATTTCTAAGGATGGATTGGCGTCGGGAAGATGTTGATGAATTTTGGACATTCCCCCAACCTGGCGTGTATTACAACACTGTATACTCAGTGTGTGCCCCCTAAGGCTTGTGAAAAAAAAACTGACAATTGTTTTACCTTTTGTCTGTTCGTTTTGTTTTTAAAAATCTCTCTGTGTTTTGTTGACATAATGCCAAGTTTTCAATTGTCATAATTTGTCGTCGGGAACTCTTGTAGTTGTATTGTGAAAGAGTAAGTCTTGACACATTAAATATATAGAAATCATTCATGTTATGGTCGTCAAGCCGTAAAGAGCGTAAGTAACCTCCCTCAACTTTATAGCAGCCACCCTCAACCTCGTCTAAATTGTTTTCTTTTCCTAATTACATAATAAAACATTAACCGTTTTAGTCGGAAAAAACGTCTTTGTAAATCCACAAATAAAAATCTGTTCATGTACAAAATGAATCTCTGTGGGGCATAACATTATTTTGTAATGAGAATTGACATAAGATCCTACGTAAATTTACATAAGAATTTGTAACAGTGCATTTCATGCATTTGTTTGGCACTGTTCGATTTCCAGTACAAAACTGTACGAATTATAAGACCAACAGGCAAATCCCCTTGGAGTGATAGTCGCTGATGGAACTTTGCGCTGTTTGACGCCGTGCATAACATAATGATATTGTATTCAACATTGATCTATCATAACGTGCCCCAAGAGAGGATGAGTAGGCCTACACATTTTATAAAACGAAGAGGACCTTAATTAAATGCTGTGAATACTCTGTCGATTGATATTTTCTGTCCAGTTATTAGCATTACATTCCCATGCTGCTGTTCCATTTGATTAATATCAGCCGATGGAAGCCACCCGTTCAATTTCAGCCGACGGTAGCCAGGCATTTTCATTGTTCAAATTTTGTTTGTCGGCACCCGTCAAAAAGTCTATAAATTACAGTGAAGTGGATAATGTTCTATGCAATGTATGTACATTTACAGTTTGTTTATTATTTAGTGGCTATTTGATCAGAATCTATTAAACGCAACAACCAGCCGTTGTGGCTACTATGGCAACTAAAAATTGACTCTAGCAAGCACGCACATGTACCGAAATGCGACATGGTACGGAGGTGTGTCGTCTCACAGTTTAAATCCAGTAAGCAAGAAGTGAAGACGAGTTGGATAGACATGAAAGATCTGCGCTACGTTTTGATCCTGACTTTGGCTCTTGGGCTGGCTTGCTCCTTCTCCTTGCTAGCCGTGCATGGAGAGATGTGTAGTGCTGTGACCAAGGCGTCAGCCGGTGACGATCTTGGCTCGCTCCGCCAGAGGGCTTTCACGGCTTTCCAAGCACAGTGCCGTGGAAAACCAGGCGATCTCGGCTCTACCACATGTGAGTCATTCTTATTAATAAAACCCTGCACTTTTGCATTTTCTATCGACAGCGCGTGCATACTTCACGTTGATATTTTGCGTCTATAAAAACCTCCTGGCGCACCATCACTG